AACTGTTAGGTTTGGTTATATTTTGGTTGGTTCAAGGTCGTTGGTAGCTCTGAACCTGGTGTGTGTAGGGTGTATCTTGGTATACCCCAACATGTTGGAACATGTTAAATCATGCCCATGGTGGCAATGGTTTAAGTGGTTAGATGTTATTTATGTTACTATTGTTGTTTATGGGGGTCATTGTCAGGGTCGAATTGTTAAAAGAGTTGGGGCTGAGATGTTATGTTAAATATGTTGACAATGACCCTTAATATTTCAGATATATTCTAATTATTAATAAAGCTGTGATAATTTTCTCAAACATAAGGTGTCCAAGTATCCTTGGGTTTTGGGGGGTTGTTTATACCGCATATGCCAAAAAGGTGACTAGGCATATGTCATGTTTTAGAAGCAGCCCAGACTTTCAGTTTATTATACTTTGCAATCATTCCGCTCTGATCTTTGGGTAGTTGTTGAGCGGCAGTTCCCAGGACTGGCAAAGGATTATGGGGAATGTAAGGAAACCACACATGAAAGGCCAAGGTTGGACACCTCTGTTTTATTCTTGTTAGGAACACTTCCTCTCCTGAGCAGACCAGTATATCGTCACATAAATGACACACACCATATGATGCCTGAGTGACAATAAACTAGTAGGATTGGCATCAAAGAGTACACATTGGCAACATGTGTACACATCAGCTACACACTAGGGTAGGGGAACATGTGTATAATAAGATGGTCATCAAAAATGTCATACAGTACAGTCAGCACATAACAGGACACCAGCAATCTACGCGTTTTAAGCACTTAGTATTTTGTCAAGACTACACTGAAAGACCATATCCATGATTCTCTTACGGTGGGGGATGCACAGCTTACAGCCAAAATCACCCTCTGTTATTATCCAAATGCACTTTATGTCATTCTTGATGATCTTATTAATGGATGGATAATCAAAGTAAAAATAAAAAAATGTATTGCTGGAATGTGAATTGGTAAATTTTATTTCCGATTGCTGATCTTTTTTATTGTATGCACTTTTAAAAATGGTTTGACCGTCTCTTCTGCAATCCTGAGGTATAAGCTTTAACTTTAATATCGGAGAACACACAATGGCATTTATCAGAGAAGGATTAAGAATCAACATGCCTCTAGACAGGTTACCTGTTTGGACCCCCCTCCATTTTTCACATAGGGATGATTAATGAGGTCAGCAAATTCATGGTCCCCTGTGTAATCCCTGCTCCCTAGGCAGCCACCTAGGGTCAAGTTATGGTTAATCCTGCTCTGTGTATATGTGGATAAATAAGATGCAGGAGTAAAGACACTGTGACTATGAATATTGTATTATTTGGTAGAAATGCAAGACCACAGATGATGCTCAATATCAAAGTGGTAGTTCAACACTATTGAGGACCAGAAAACTTTCAGAACATTTAGAATCATGATAATTAATAGAGAAATCATGTATTCTTCTGATGCAATGAATTGTATTATGCTGCAATGATGTGCGGAGCATTAGAAATACTCGCGATTGTGACTCTCAGCACCACTCGTTACAGTGAACGTGCTGTTTGAAAATTTAACATTTTGAAGTCAATGGACATCCCTCTGTGAAACCATAGGCAATTCAATCATTTCCTCATTCATGAAAATGTATGACAGTCAACAGTCAGTCATTTCGCTTAGAGATATCAAAAAACAAAAAAGAATTGACGTGATGATGCGCATAAGTCTGTGTCACCAGCATCAAAAATGGAAGTTGTGCCTTTAAATTTCTGCCTTTGGAAGCGTCCGACGTTCATAGGAATGCCAGCGCGATTCCCAGCCGTGTAGCATGGAGAGCGGAGGGAGACCCAGGAAGAGGTAAGTTTATTTTTTATTTTCTAATACTGTGACTGGGCACGTGCTCTCGACTGTGCTTACCAGGGGCGTGGGCACGCGGTCTCCCCAGATCGGCAGCGTGACACATTGCTCATTATGACAAGTAACAGAATTGAGTAATATTTATTTTGAAAGTGCAATCACAGTGCTTGCTTAAAGCGGACTGGTCATTAGCTGGGTCCAATATGAGACATACACACCAAGTAAATTCAAAGTGAAGTTCTCATTTAAAACCAGAGTAGCTGAGCTAAAAACATTCCTGACCTATTTATTTTTTTTCCAATTTGGCTATTTCGACCTTAAATTTGAAACTGACTCTAAATTCACTTTGAATTGTTGCTTTAGTGAATTAGTGTAATTACTGAATTTAGTGTAATTGTAGGATGGGGGATTGGAGAATACTATACGCACTATGTACACAGGATTATAGCAGGGTTAAAGATAAAAGACGTGAAGGTTAATATAAAGGTAGAAATAGGATAAAACAGAAGGCCATAAAATAGCCTCAGTGCAGTAAAGTTTGTAAGCATTCTTTATGAGTGACACATACAAGTAATGATTGCATGACTTCACAGACTTCCTGTTAGTGGGAAGACTATATAAGATGTCCTAAATACTATAATTGTGCATTAGGTTTCAAACAAATTGCAGTTCTTCCAAATTTTTGTTGATCGTGGGTCTTCAGAATTCCAAAACTTCAAAGTGCCATATTGATGCATCATGTAACAAACGACATGCGCAATGGACGGGCAGTATTGTTGTCTCATGACTTGAAGTTCCATCTGTGGATGACTTATGGTTTGGGGAAAGCCACTAAATCAAATAAAATCAATAAATAAAATGCTCAAAAGTAAGTGAATGGTCAAAGTTCAAATATTGACTGAATGTAAATGGTAAAATGCCATTCAATTCAGTTGGTCAAATATTGCTCTAGTAAAAGGGCATGCAAATGAGCCTATAACTGCACTGTGAATGCATATTATGTATTTATTTTTCAGCACAGTGGTAGGCTGATTTTGCAACCTCTTTATTTGTCTGAATCAGTTTTCCCTAGTCAATTGCATGACTGAAACCTGCAGTAGTCAAAATGTCCAAATCTACAAAATAAATTTTTCATGCTTCTATAATGGAGTGGTTGGGGAGTACAAGCTTGAGGGGAAAAATATCCTCTTTGGATTGTTACTTCTAAGCATGAACAGTTTAATGCAGATAGTTTGGCTGGGGCAGTCAGTCAGGTTTCTGGGGAGGAAGCCAGAAATTAAGATAACAGAGGTAACTGAATGTTGTTAAAATATTGGAAAGAAAGGAAGTGAAATCAAACTTTGCCTTTAATCCATCCCAGATCTGGAGAGAATTCGTTTTTGTTGGGGATGTAAGAGGTAGGGTTGAAGTATGCACATGTAAAGCAGGGATAGTCCCTGCCAAAAATATAATTTTCCAGATCTTCACATCTCTTCACGTGAGTTGATATATGCTAGTGTTGTGCCTGGAAGAGCACTATATTGATTTCAGACAGATTTTAGAAAGTCAGGATGCAATAGACCTACAGGCCTTGCATGGATATATTGGAACAGAGTTTGCACGGTCTCCAGCTTTTCTAAACATATGCATCAACCTGGGACTTAAGTTAGGTGAAGTCTGATCTACAAAGTAGCTTTTGGCTCAAATTTAAAAGACTCCCTGTTAACAGTGATATGTGAAATATCTGTGTTGAGATGTCGAGGCTGAGGAAGGGGCTTCATATCGAAGTGGGAATAGTGGACACCTTTGTCTAGTGCTGTTGAATATTGAGTATGATAGGATGGTAATGTTATGGAGGAGGCGTTATGAATTGAGAATGATGAAAGAACACGTAATAATACAGAGGGAAGCTTACATTATTTTAAGCTCATGAAGAGGTAGAGCAGAGCAGACAGTCAAATATCATATCAGAGTGAGAAAAAGCACAACTCTAGTGATGCATTATTTAAGTGCCTTGTTAGTTCTATGCATCTGTAAGTGTTATCCCTATGTGATACAGCCCACCTGTTCTGAATAAATTAGAGGACTCAGACAGGAGTTTGACTTCTTTGCTGTAATTTTCTCTAACATTTTAGTGCCAACATTGAGGGTAAAAGTGGATGAAAAGGTTGTGGGTCTAAATGGTCTTTACCATTGTCAAAGAGTATTTCTTGAGGGAACTGGTTAGAATCCTAAATTTATAAAATGCTTTTATACTAATAAAACACCGCACTTTCTGATAAGAATTCTAACCATTGAGTCATGAGTATAGCAATCATTGCTATCCAACTTAAAGATTCATACTTCTTAAGCAAGTTCTTAAAGTACCACTCTGCGTTTCCTATCCTAAGAGAGCTGGCTCTTTCAAAATATGATCACAGTTGTTGGACATAATACCAAGCCCTAAGGAGGTAGATCCATCAGGAATGTCCATCTCCTTAGGGATATCATCAATTTGTAAAGATGCTGTTTTTCTTAAAAATCTTCTGCTCTTCATTTATTGAATAAAGAAGAACCAATTAATTCTCCATTCCGGGCTAACACCAGAATACATGGAATAATTACTGTGACCTTTCTGATATGAAATAAATGAGGAAGCAGTGACTGCATGATTCTAGAAGCTATGAGAGGCAACCAGCATTAACATATATAAATATGTGGACACAGTAGGCTCTGGGTTGAAATGGGCACATCTTATTTACTAGTAAAATAATACCAACTGTCTTTTTCATCAAACAATAATAAACATCACAAGACCATTAAAATATAATAATTAATATGTAAAAAATGTTCATGACAGGTTTTATATGTCAGCCTTGGCATTTTTGGAGATGTATTTTATGTTCAGCGCTGCTTAAGTAGTGGACTACCAGAATATCGGCTTCTAATGATCATAAAAGAAACTATATAATTGCAAAAATATAATAAACAACAAAGAAACGAATATTTAAAAGATCAAAATTAAGTAAATATGTGAAATGCTGTTTGTTCTTTAAAAGTTTCCTCTAATGTAAACCAAATCTAAGACTTCACTCCTGACTATTTCATAGCAACCTTTTAAAATTTATACTTTATCATGGAGGTTTCGAGCCCTTTTCTAAAAATATTCAGGCATCTCCATGCACAATGGACAAATGTTTTGCACTGTCCACGGTGCTGAAAACTATTGTGGGCCGAATGACACAGCCATCACATTTGACAGGGCTCACAGGGCCGCTAGGCCCAGAAATCTACCCCCTGATAGGCCACGAGACCTTATCTGCCGCATCCACAATTTCCCCTTAAAGGAGGAAATCTTCTGTAAAACCCGCCAAAACAAAGAACTAACAATAGACGGCCAACTGGTGACTGTATTTCAGGACCTGGCACCATCCACATTACAAGCAAGGCAAGCCTTGCGGCCCATCACACAGGCCCTGTTAGAGAGACAAATTAAGTTCAGATGGAATTTCCCGTTTGCACTGACAGTCAACCTCCAGAACAAGACCCACACTATCTCCTCACCAGAGGATGTTCCCGAATTCAAGAGGGCACTGAAGCTGCCGCCATCCGAAGTGGAAGACTGGACAGGACTAGCGGCCAACCCGACAAGACAGCCCTCACAAAAGCCCAAGTGGCAAAGATCTCCAAGGAAAAGGCACAGACAAAACCACCCCGGCATAGACACAAGCGCTTCAACCAGGGACGAACCAGCCTGAGAACTGTTACGGTCGTATAACCTCACACTCATGTCCCATATGCCCTACTTTGTTTATTTTTCTTTCCTATAATCGATATTATGCAGTTTATACTCACCTCAGAATGCCACCCACTGTCAAGGCCATACATAGACCACACAGGCATGACACACCCATTGAGGTGATAGGCAGAACACAACTTAAGACCTTCTTGAAAAGAACCGTCATTACAGTGGACTTAAGTAATCCCCACACCATGTAACCAATATTGAACTGCTATGTTATATTATGTTTTATATAGAAACCTCAAATGTAGCCGTTACCGGGACCTGTGGCCCTACAATATGAGAATAATAATAATATTCAAACCTGATGGCCTTAAGCGGCCTGGCCCACGGGGCACAAACGGAGGACACTCTTACCGCATACCCCACAAACCCTTCCGATTAGGTGGGTAAGGGGAAATAGTACGACACACATGATTTCCCCGATGGGACCCCTGAGTACCCCCGGTCGGGCGATCCGACCACTACCCCCAGAGAGGCACCCCAAACCCACTTGTGGTCACGAAGAGTTACTCACAAGTGCAGCGCCAATCTCACCACCCGAGATGACCTTCTCATCTCAAATCTGTGTAAATAGTTTACGGTTTTCCCCAGTTCCCCCCCTGCACTGGCCCTGCCACTACCATCTTATTAAGCACTTCATCCACTGGTAAAGTCCTTGACTCACTAGACAAGCTTCTGCCACCGGACCCACTACCATGACCCAAACAAAACTAATGTCCCTAAATGTGCGGGGACTAAACTCCCCTATGAAACGCACAATGTTAGCACAAGAAATAGACAGACAGGGAGCCGAAATGGAGAGTTCAAACCAAGAATTCACTCCAAACGAAACAATTTAGCATACTGTAGTAATAATACGCAAAAGAAAACCAGAGGTGTAGCGATACTGCTAGCCTCCAATGCTGCTTTCACAGAAACGGGGGTTAAAATTGATCCTAAGGGCAGATTTGTGTTTGTTAAAGGGGTATACAACGGTACTCTCATAACGCTAGCAAGTATATACGCTCCCAATGCAGACCAAGCCTCCTACATACGGTCGTGTCTGACTAAATTGGACGCATTCGCGGAGGAGGTAGTAATAGCAGGTGGGGATTGGAATATGGTCTTAGACTACTCAATTGATAGCTCTTCTAAATCCGCTGACCCTAAACAACACCAAAGAACGGTATTTTCCACTGCCTTACATGCCCACCAGCTCGTGGACTGCTGGCGTATATTACATCCCCAAGACAGGGACTACTCATTTTACTCTCAGACAGCCAAAAGTTACTCCAGAATAGATATGTTTCTGATTAGCCATAGACACCTCCCCCTATTACACGAAGCATCCATAGGTAAAATCACGTGGTCGGACCACGCCCCAATATCCCTGACGGTCACCCTCCAGAAAGAGCCCAAACCCACTACACACTGGCAACCTAACGAAACCCTCCTGGATGACCCCAGAGTACTAGACGACCTGCAAAAGACTGTAGATAACTATTTCTTAGACAATGGGAACACTGAGGTATCAGACCCTTGGGTTTGGGAAGCCCATAAAGGAGTTATCAGAGGTACCCTTATCAAATGGGGTTCTAGAATCAAAAAAGAACGGACCCACAAAATGGACTCCCTCATAGCAGACATTCACTCAGCTGAGGCCACACACAAACAAGATCCCACAAATGATAACTTTCAGAAACTAACAGCCCTACGCATGGAATTAAGATCACTACTAACCACAAAGGCATATAGATCCGCTCAACTGACAAGAAGCACTTTTTATGCCCATGGCAACAAAAGTGTAAAACTATTGGCCAGAGCCTTGAAAGCCAAACAGCAGAGATCATCATAGACAAAATATCAGATGATACAGGTAGACAACACAACACTACAGAAGATATAGCCAAGGCGTTCAACGCTTTCTACACAAACCTATACAACCTAACCCCCCCAAAAACACAGACCCACAACCTGAGGGAATATATTTCGACAAACCTTCCACGCAAGATCCCAGACGACCAAACATACACACTAGACGAACCGTTTACACATACGGAACTACTCGCCACAATTAAGGCACTGCCAAAAGGTAAAAGCCCTGGCCCAGACGGACTGACCGCCAGGTACTACCGAACACTCACACAAGAACTGTCCCCTCACTTTCTGAAAACATTAAATGGCCTAACTCATGAAACTCCTCTCCCACCTCCGATGCTACGGGCATCTATCACTATCATCCCTAAACCAGACAAAGACCCCACAAAATGTGGTAGTTATAGACCCATATCACTAATAAATCTAGATCTAAAACTAATGGCGAAAATGATCGCCAATAGGCTCAAACCTCTATTACCAAACCTAATCCACCCTGACCAGGCGGGCTTTGTACCAGGCTGAAGCTAGAGATAATACCACGAAAATTCTAAACGTCATTCATGGAGCAATGGTGACTAAAACACCAACTCTACTGATGGCTATTGACGCTGAAAAAGCCTTCGACAGAGTGGACTGGTCCTACTTATTTACGGTCCTAGAGGTCTTGGGGATGGGCCCAAGACTGAGGAACTGGATACAAACTCTCAATAGGGGACCCTCAGCCAGTGTCAGAGTAAACGGCCGCCTATCGGCACCGTTCCCAATAAGCAACAGCACTCGACAAGGCTGTCCCCTCTCGCCCCTGTTATTTGTCCTGGCCATGGAGCCTTTCCTGAACGCAATCAGGTCACACACTAAAATACAGGGATATCGATATCAGGGAGGAGAGGTGAAAGTATCCGCTTTTGCGGACAATGTCCTATTCACGCTCACAGACCCAACCAAAACACTACCACACATAAACACAGAGATTAACACCTTTGGATCCCTCTCGAACTTTAAGATAAATGCTGACAAATGCGAAATACTGGGGATTGCGGTACCACCGACCCTGCAAACACTAATCCAACAAAGATATACTTTCCCTTGGACTCGGACAGGACTGACATATTTGGGGATACGACTCACCATGTCACCCAAAAGCCTATACAAACTAAACTACCCCCCCCTCATAGACAATATTAAACAAGACTTCCAAAAGTGGGACCAACCTTATTTCTCCCTAATGGGATGGATCAGCATCTTGAAAATGATGATTCTTCCGAAAATATTATACCTCTTCCAGGCCCTACCTATCCCCCTCCCAGAGACATTCTTCAGACAGATGCGGACAATTTTCACCAAATACATCTGGAGCAACAAACCAGCAAGGATAGCCCTCACTACACTAACCTCCACCTCAGACAGGGGGGGACTAGGGCTGCCCCACCTATACAAATACTATGTTGCAGTATTGCTCACTCGACTAAAGGAATGGACTGATACCAAAAGGAATAAATCGTGGTACACATTAGAACAGAGCTTTACACCAGTCCCACTACACACTCTGCCGTGGCAAACATGCCAACTCCCAAAGCTCACCTCGACACAGCACCCACTCATACACAACGTCCACACAATATGGAGAAGATATAAAGACCAATGGGGACTGTCACTGGGACTGTCGAGGTTCTTCCCTATAGCAGACAATCCTGACTTTCAGGGAGGTGGAGGGGGGCCACTCCTTAGTCGCCTCATGGGCACACCCACCCCAGACATAACCGAATTGATCAGAGAAGATCCACCCACTGTCAAGGCCATACATAGACCACACAGGCATGTCACACCCATTGAGGTGATAGGCAGAACACAACTTAAGACCTTCTTGAAAAGAACCGTCATTCCCCTCTGGAAACAGAGAGCAGACACACCATTTGAGCACCTCTATGGCCCAGGGGGTGACCCTCGACGCCCCCTATCCAAAGTTTACCGCATCCTCCAGGGTTCAGTTGAGGAACATAAACCACTGTCATTCCAACGGAATTGGATGAAATACCTCCGAATACATATCTCTGACAAAGACTGGTCAGGGATCATGGAAATGGGAATTGTAACGGACCGTTTCAGCACACAAGGGGTTAAAACCGTTTAGGCGATCGTCCCCCTTTCCAGAGATGCAGGCACAGTTACTGCAGAACACCAATCCGCTGAACATCAAACCATACGAATGCTGTAAACAGCCGAATAGGAAAAACCATACGAATAGGTTTACACTCCTAGCAGTCGAACTGGAACAGCATACAATAAATCCCCCCAAGAACGAGACAAAGCTCCGTGTTGAGGGTCAAGCAGTGAACAGGCAGAGCTGTGGGCTTATTGTGCTTATGTACACATTCTTACACATTAGTACCACCCACAGGGTTTTGGAACACAACCAATAAACACACACAATATACTCAGACTCTCCCACACAAATTCCTCCCCTCTGCTTGTGATTCAATTACCTTACACAATGGGTAATGTAATTTAGCACAAGCAGAGAAATACAATTTTTCCACATTATTCATAACTTGAAAAGTATGCATCACATTCACACTTACATTTTCAGAATCAGCATACTCCAAATACAAACATACGTCAAAATCATACAAATTGGTCCAGTGGTTCAAAAGATAGATCGTAGTCCTTTGTGACCACAGGAAGAATGGCTTTTCTGCCCAAAACCAGTTCCACAGAGTCTTCTATCCTGGAGATAATTAGAAGTAATCCGATTATCTCCAAAGACAGAGGCAAAACTCCATTGAACACATGGCAGCAAAAAGACAGTAAAATGCAATAAAATACACAAAGTTACATTTATGACATAAAATACAGACATGCAACATATGCCCAGATAGCTTAGGTCTAAGCGCACATTATTACTGAATGGCGCTCAGAGCACACACATACAGTTCAATTGCCATGGAGCCAAAGTCTTTCCCATAGTCTTTCATTATACGAATGGGCTCCATGGCACAGCTATCTGGGGTATCACTGCTCAAACAGGGCAAGCACCAAATGACCCAGCTTTCTTGTCTTTGCAGGGGAAAATCAAGCCTTCTAACATGGGGCCATAAT